CCCCAAAACCCCAAAACCCCAAAACCCCGTGATTTAGGATTGCTGTTGTTTGAGAATTAAGTAAATATTTATATAGAGTTATAAACCATTTTAATGGACGTAAGTGATAAAGTCTCATCTAATACAGTAAATCAGTTCTAAGAACTTAGTTTTGATCTGTTAAACAAGGAAGTTTAGAACTTCAAGATTTAACAGTTAAATGGATTTAAAGTGTAGGCTATAGTAGATGATAAAAGCAATTTGACTTCTTGGAATCAGCAGTCTAGGGAAGCTAAGAAAAAACATCATCATCACATGGAGCATGTAACAGAAGATCTTGATGAGTTAAAACAATCAAATGGGTTTCTACTGAAAAGTAGTCCAATAAATAAGAGTTACATGAGATATCACTTTATGCAGCAAAATAAGCATGGAATTGAAATAGTAGGCTAAGGTTAGAGAGGCCCCAGTGGAATAAATCCCAGCAGACTAAAGTCACTTGATGACAAAGACTTAACTAAATTTAATAATCAGTAGCAGTAATCGACTTAGTTGTAGCAGTAAAACCAGTATTTGCCTATTAGAGGGGGTAAGCATGCCAACTGTTATGAAGGGAGATAGCAACAAGCACGAATGGAAAACGAAGACATTTAAAAAGCATTTGAAAAGCACTAGGAATTCGATGATGAAATGAGGAAACTCAGATTTGAAGACTAGTAGAACGAAAACAAGAATCTCATTGTTGACAAAGACCTCAAAATTGTGTCTGCCAAGCAAGCTCAGCAGTCGAATGCTAATAGCCCTCCATTGTACAACGTTGCCAAAGTAAATATGAATTTCAATGGTTTGAATATCAATAAACGGACGATTCTTGGCAATAATCGCACTTTCAATGGTGATCCTGATTCGAGTTATGGAACAGCAAGCATAGGCTAGAAACTGAAAATGGAAAGAATTAATCCAATAATATATCTAACTAGAAAGAGACAAGAGTAACTGATGTTACAGTAATTGAGACTTTTGCAGTAAACTTAATCTATGGATTAAAAGCAATAATAGTAACAATTGGTCCATCAGTAGATTATGTCACAATACAACGACAGCTACAATTATTTATCAGATGGAAATGGTTATCCTACTCATGCAAATGTAGCTACTTTAAGAAAAATATAGAAGCAGCGAGGCAAACTTACCTTTTCTTAAAATTCTCCTTCAAACCATCAAAACAAGAGTAATAATAATCAAGAAAGTGCGCCAGAAACAGCTACTTTAAGCCAAGGAGATCGCAGAATTATAAATCTATAGCACCTGACTTAGAGTATTTAGCAGCCACCATAGGGCTTACAAATGAGTGAAACCTCTTTCAGTTAGTTTGAACAGCCTCCTGATTCACAAATGTATATCTCTCAGGGTGGTCTTGGAAGTAAAAATAATGTAGGAACTGATTCAATGAGTGTTTATGCCAAGATGAGCGGTCAGAATATCATCCCTTAGAAAGTCTTTTAGGCCTAGTCTATATATCCAATTCTAGATCAAATCAAAGATAAGTTTTTACTACCATTGACTTCAAGATCTCCAGATAAATTTTAGACTACTCCTTCAATGTAGTCCTCAAAGATAAATACAAGTAAGGAGAGACTAAAGAGCACTAATATAAAAACTCACAAATACCTGAATCACTACCAATAAAAGCTTAAACTGGATCGATAGATAAAAAGTACAAAGGGGAAAGTATATGTTGAAGATGCGGATATTATGGATGAGCAATAGGAGAGATAGCATAGTCATGACAGTTACTAAACACTTGAATAGAGAGAAAAATCTCCCCCGGATGTGAATAACAACAATGGAGGTTATGGTAATAATTATCGCAACAGGAGAAACGTAGAGTCTCACAGCCATTAAAAGTATCAGTAAATACCTATGAATATGGCTATCCTTCCACCTCTTAAGTCAAGAGACATATCTCCAAGGTATAATTTGTCATTTAAACATCATCATGGCTACAAAATCGGAGGGCACACCCCGCCTCACTTGCATCGAGAGTCAGAGGAAATCAAGTAGTTTTTGAATCATAAGATGTAAAATGAAGGTGGTCTCAACTTTGTAATGCCAGGCTACAATAGCTTTAACATCGATAATCTAAATCCTAAATAAGTTATCCCACCTCCAGTTGAATAGACTATATCTAACCCAAATACTTAATAAACTACTGGTTAAGGATCGGGTTAGGGGTCTAAGGATCTCAAAGGAAAATATCATCAAAGAAAACGAAGGAGTTCCACTTCTTACGCCTAAACACTTCTTGAATTGACCTAAAATACTAAGAAGAACATTCAGGAATGAAGCTTCAATGGTGTCCAAGAGGTTAATGTGATGGCTGGGGTTGATTTCACTATAAGTTAAGCTGCCAATCATCTGCTTCTATAATAGGCTCAGTTCTAGTAATAGCATAGTTAAAACCAAGGATAATTCTAAGCCAATCAGTTGATCCACAACAGTTCAAATAAGAATGATAACCTTGCCAGTTCAACTACCTTGAGTAAATTTGACATTCAAGGCCAGAAACTTCAGTTTACCTCTAGAAAGTAGAGCACAAACTGAACAGAGTCATTTCGAAATAAAAATCTCTCTTTACCTATTTATTCTACAATAAATCATATAGAAGTGAACTTGATTTATATTTGCTCAAATATCTAATCTACTCTATTCTATTACCTGCGGGGTTTTGGGGTTTTGGGGTTTTGGGGTTTTGGGG